TGAGGAGGCTCAATGCGCCATTAATGCTGCTCACGAAGCTGAAAGTTTTGAGAATGGCATTGGCCTTGTGAAGTTGATGGGTCGCTACAATAGTAAGTTTCTTGTTTGGTCTCTCTTGAAAGTGTTGATCTTGAATGCCAAAAAGTGCTAGAGTTAAAACTATCAACTGATAGCATTTAATTATATTGGTTTAAGTTCTCATTTTTCTTAGAAATCACTAATTTTATTCAAGAAACATCCTAAATTACAATAAATATTTATAAACATAATAGTAAATTAAGCACATAATTAGGACAATTCCCTATAAACATCAAAACAAAACAAGTAACTTAAAATCACACAATGACCATACAAGAAAATATTAAAATCTAACCAAAAAAACTCGAACAAAGATAGATAGAAACATGTCTGATCGCATCGTCAAACTAATTACAAAAGAAAATCAACCAAATGAAAGACCACTGACAAACTGTCATATTGATCAAACTCGAGCGACGTGAACAACTATATATGAACGCAAAACGTATATCCAAATCTAATTTGAGGGTCAAAAACAGGGAAGATCAACAACATAACAGATAAGTGCCATATTGATCAGGCGTGACGATGTTAAATCAACTCTTAGAAAATGATAAGTGAAAATAATGGTCATACGACCGAAAAAAGGTATAAAAAGGTAAAAGAAAACATACCATAAAAGTAAATGAAAACATGTCATACGTATAGATTTATTAAAAAAATAAAATGAAAATAAAAATTCCGACGATCGACAACCATCAAGTCGTCGTGGAGGGTGGTTTAAAATATTGGCCGCCGGTGCAGTTGTTAGTGTCGCACTCGCTCTACCCCTGCTTTGGTTGGGTCAGTTCAGGTATATCTTGCAGGTGGACAATGGGTTCGCAGAATTGTAGGGCCTAACTGGGTTTAACCAATCTTTATTGTGCTAATTTTTGGGAATAAAATCAACTTTTCTATATATTCAAATCATTTTCAACTCAGTCCAAATAAAAAAATGGATAAATTACACCATTAATCACTTAACTATCTATTCACTCCTATTTTGATTATTAAAGATTAAATATTTTTAATTTATTCAATAAATTTTTGAATTATTACTATTTTTATCACTCGCGAATGACATGGATTATTTTTTTTGTTATTTTTATTATAATATTAAATATTTTATTAATATTAAATTCCACATAAGATTAAAATAAAAAATAAAATTCAAATCCAAATTTATATACCTAAATATTTTATTAATAGATTAAGGGTCTCGATCAGGTGGATATATTAATTAGTGGAAGCATTGAGGGATTGAAGGCTATTGGTAATGAAAATTGAGGTTGACGCGAGCTTCGTTCGTGGCTAAGTTTAGTGTTAACTAGTTTGTTAGAGATGACATGTATAGAATATCGATTCGTTTAATTTTAGTCCGCAAAACCAAGACCAAAAAGAGGTTAAAACAAATCCCATCATCTTAATTTCACACAAAAATTACCGTAAAAAAGAAAATTAATTCATCATCTTAATTTAACGTTACTCAATGCATCAAAAAGATAATGAATATGTCTTAATAAAACTGTTCACAATACTTCAACAACAACAACAAAATTATTCTTTTGTTTATCTACCTCTGTCTGATTACAAGTTTTCTTCTAATTTTACTTTCTAATTTTTTGTGTGTGTTTTTGTTACGTTAATGTTATAATATTATATTGATACTGCATAATATTGTAACGAAATTTTATTGCAATATTATTGTTACAACTTATATAGTTTATTATTATTATGATATTGTATTGATATTGCTAGATCCTTACCATAACCCCATATTTTTATTACACTTGTATGTGTGCATAAAGGTAAGTAAGGTTGGGAAAGTCTAGAAAAAATAACAACATAATTTAAGGATAAAAAACGGCAGAAATAGAGCGACCGAACATATTATATTCTTTGTAATATTTTCGGTTGATCATCGAAAATTTTATAAAGAATGTAACATTTTAAGTTCAACCGAAAATGTTACGAAGAATGTAACGTTTTAGATTGCGCCTAACCTAAAATGTTACAGTAAATTAACGTTTTCGATCGCTCTCATTTCAATCGTTTTTAACCTTAAATTATCAAGTTGTACCGCAGAGGTGCATACCAAGGTTAGTTGTACTTAAATATATCAATTGGATGTGAAAATTTTGAGGTGCACAATCAGCTTTTATTGTTTCCAGATGGTGTTGTTCATTGATCATGAACATGAAAGTGAAAATTGTGATAAATGTGAAATTTGTATCATGTTAATAAGGTTTAAATCAAAGCAATCTAATGGACTATAGAATATGAAATAGGATGTAAAGTGAGCTTATAACATTCGTCTATCACATTAAAGTGGGCATCTAACTATAAGTTACAATTATATAATATTGTGTTTTACATCATGACTAACAATGGCGGTGGCCTCCCAAAGAATTTGAAAATTATACTTTAGATCTTTAAATTTCAAAACATTTAATTTGTTCCCCTATAAAATTAAAAAAAAATCATATTAATCTTTAAATTTTTTAATATTCTTAATTAAATCCCTCTCACAATTTTTTAAATTTTGAGAGAAATTTTAAAAATTCTTTTTAAGCTTGTTAAAATGTCAAAAATTTTAGTTATACCTCAATTTTTTAAAAAACTTATAAACTGAATCCTTCAAAATTTTGAAATATTTAATGTAAACCTCTAAATTTTTTAAAGTTTTAAATTGACCCTCTAAGTTATATCACTAAGTTCCGCCACTTATGATTGATACTTGTGAAGTGTTCATAAATAAATTTTGTAAATTAGGATGGTCCCACCTAGATATTTGAGGTCATATTAGCTAAATGTAGGGGTGTAAATGAGTCGAGTCGAGACTCAAAAATTCTGAAATAGAGTTCGACTCGATTCGAAAACTCGCGAGTTTAAAATTTTCAAACTCGACTCGAACTCGAAATTCTGAACTGAAGCTCGTGAGCAGCTCGAAAAGGCTCGAAATGAAAAAAAATCTTAAATTTAACTCGATTGAAGCCTCAAACTCGAACATGAACATTAAATACATGGAAATCTTACTGTATTTAAAAAAATTAATACATAAATGTTAATATTATTAATAATTTATTTAAAAAATAAATCTTAATATATTATATTTTCGAGTTGCTCGTGAGCTTTTCGAGTCGAATATCAAGTAGCTCGATTTGGCTCGTTAAGAACTCGAGTCGAGTCCATTCGATCCGAGTATTTATCAAACCTTGATCGAGTCGATCTCGAGTAACTCGCGATCTGTCTCGTCTCATTTACAGCCCTAGCCACATGTAACACTTGAACTTTATTGGAATGGTTTCACCTGGATACCAGACGCCATATTGGCCACCGAAGTAACTCGAAACAAAACATACCTATAAAAGCACCTATTTTTTTCATTTAAATATGTTATATTAATTATCATAAATTAGAGGAAACGCTGACAAGTGTTAGTATAAGTAGTTGAGATTCAAGATTTTGAGCCAAGTTCGAATTCTACTACTATCACTCTTAATGAACAATATGTAAATTCTCATATAAATTCCGATTAAATCTTAAATATGTCCTAATCCTAAACTGGGGGAGTCACATTTTACCTAAACTTTTACTTAAAAAAATACATAAGCGGAAACATTAAAACATCATAATCGACAAATAACCTAAATCATGATTTTAAACTAAGCCAATCAAGTAAATACAATTATAGGAGTGAATTAATAATTTCATACGACACATGCTAGAAAATTTATTGTAAACATATCAATCAACTTATACATACTTACACAAGCATCGTACAAATTTCCAGCTATATCACGCATCATCTCCTTAGAAGGAAATGATGGTTCAAGAGTTAATATAAAAGATTTTTCAAATGTTTTAGTATTTGAATTATACTCATTTTCTCATTTAAACATTTTTTAATTTTATTTTAATATTTAAAATACTATTTTAATTTTATTTTATTAAAATTTTACTAAAGTCTAATAAAATATGTCTTACACGTTTTATAAATTTAAAGTAACTGATAAATCAAAAATTAAAGAAAATATATATATTAAAATTAGGAATAGAGTATTATTTAAAAATGAATCCATCGAGAGAGTAGTTAGAGAATATTCTTAACATATATTAACCTTAATCACCTCAAACTAATTAAAAAAAATAAAATCATGGATTTAAATATTTAAGGGTAAAATATACAAATGGTCCCTTGACTAAGACTACTTTGTTGAGTCCCTCAACTATTAAAAGTTATAAAATAGTCGTTTGACTATAAGATGTTATTTTGTTGAGTCATCTGACTATTTGTATGTTTCAAACTCTTCATTTCCACTAAAAAATTAACAATTGTGTGAGATGGAAGTTAATTTACTCACTAGGATGTGATAAAATTTGATCTTAGAACCGTTTGAATTGTATTTTGTGGATTGAATCTTTGTTTACATTATGTTGTCGAGTCATTACTTTAAACATTATGTCGTTGAGCCAATGCTAAAGAGCAACTGCGACGCAGTAGACATCATATCTTAGTCAATAGCTTAACATCCAACTTAGATGACCGTCAAATTTTCTACAAAAAAGACGAGTTTGAAACATATGAATAGTCAAGTGATCATTTTATAATTTCTAATAGTCTGTGCACTCAACAAAGCAGAATCCAATATTGAGAGAAATATTTTATAACTTTTAATAATTGATGACTCAGAAAACAACTCTCAGGACCATTTATGTACTTTAGCCAATATTTAAATTACACCAAACATTTCTGTCATTGATTTGGAAAGGACACCAATAGAAAGGCAACATTTAGTCCCCACTAACCACCAACCAAACCACCAAACCATATTCAATGGTAAATGGGCTCTCTTTCTTTCCCAACATTTATTAGTCTCCACCAACTCAACTAAGCTGCTCCTCCATTTAGTTAGTTGGTTAGCCCACAGATAACTCATAAATCTCATTTTCATTCCCTTTTTGTAATCCAAAACAGAAGCAATTCTCTCCATCTTTCAGAGTTATTCACTCCTTTTTTTCTCTCTTCATTTTCTCTAAATACAAACTTTAAGATTAAGGCAGGGGGAGAGGTTGGGGAAGAAGCAAAGTGAAGCAAAATGGGTGGTGGCGATGGAAAGGTGTTCACTTTGGCTCAAGTCTCTGAGCACAACGATCGCAAAGACTGTTGGCTTATCATCAATGGCAAGGTTATCTCTTCTTTATTTTCTTATTTTGATGTGTTGGTTTTGTCTATTTAGTGTCTAAGTTAAGGACTTTGCATGTTTTTGAAATGGTGGGTACTTTCAAGTTTGCCCCTTTTTTAATGTTTTAGATGTTGGTTTTCGATTGATTTGTTAAACCCATTAAATGAGAATTTGGGGTTTAAGATTTGAAGCCGTAGATGAAAATATTAGTTAACGTCCTAATATCCTAAAATGAAATGTTTGGACCATAATGCTCAAAAAAAAAAAAAAAAAACAGAGTAGAGGTTAAAGACTATTTAGTCAAACGTTAGGGCCTCTTTACCTTAAAATGAAACATTGAGACTAAAATGCTCTAGAAAAAAATAGGGACCAAATTGATTATTTAATCAAACGATTGAGATATCTTTTGACATTTATGCGAACATAAGAAGGGTGAGCTCAGGTCTAAGATTTAGAGGATGACAATTATGAATGCTTCCTTAGTTGGATGCAGATTTACCTTAGGGTTTGTGAGGTATTTCGTTTTCTTGATGGTTCAACTTATGATTCATGAAGGAGTTGAATCATCTGTTAGTCATAGCTCCACAGTGTTGGTTGCATAATTTCTTAGCAGCGTAAGTGGTGAAAGAAATGTACCTTCAGATCCACTGAAGATCCGTCAGCTTCGGTAGCCGATCCGATTTTTCGAATTTTCAGTAAAAATTATTCCATAGCTGCAGTGTTTCCTGAAGTTAACTGATTAAATGTAAAGAGACTTTCCTTTGCTTGGATATGTAAAGACTTACATGCTGCAATTCGAGATAAATCTAATCAGCAGTGACAAGCTTCCATACTCGTGTTGTTGCAATTATTATGAACATTCGAATCGTTTTTTGTTTGTGAAAGTTTGCATGATAAATTGTCAAAAGCTTTGGAGATCACTCTTTCTATATATAGTGTAATTTTTACTTTATATCGGTCTCCGTCTCATTCTCGAAACAGGTTTATGACGTGACGAAGTTTTTGGAAGACCACCCTGGTGGTGATGAAGTGTTATTATCAGCAACAGGTACAAACTTCTGAATTATGAATATGGCCGGGAGGCAGACATGGTTTTAACATGTATATTCTGCAGGGAAGGATGCCACTGATGATTTCGAGGATGTCGGCCATAGCGATAGTGCCAGAGACATGATGGATCAATACTGTGTCGGAGAGATCGATGTCTCAACCATCCCGAAGAAGACCAAATATAAACCCTCAACACAGCCTCACTATAATCAGGACAAGACATCTGAGTTCATTATCAAGCTCCTTCAGTTCTTGGTTCCACTCGCCATCTTGGGTTTGGCGGTTGGAATCCGCCTCTACACGAAATCGTCTTAAGATCCCGAATTGTGTTGGGATGATGGAAAACTTATGTTCCCATCTATGCTAATCATTGAAACTGATTGTCCTCTCTCTGTTGTGTAATCTATGGTTGCTGCCTTTCTGCAGGTAATGGATGTTTGAAACTCTTTTACTTTTACTGAATGCTGAACCAAGAAAGTATAATTAGTATTTTGTTTATTTAAACTGTCATATGAACGAATTTAGAAAAAGAATTTTAGTGGTATTTACAAATTGATTTGAATTTTTAAGTGTAAAAGGTAGAGTGACTAAATTCTTAAAAATAAAATGACTAAATTTCAAATGTACAAAGAGTAGAGGAGCTTGAGCGTATTTTAAAACTTAGATTAAACATTATTATAACAAAAGATATTAACGATGAAAGAGGTAGAAAAATATTATGATAAAATATGTTTTTATTAGTATGTTTGATAAAAGGTTAAACTACCTATTTTGTTACTTACCTATTACTTTGTTTCTATTTTGGAAATCAATTATTATTATTATTTTTAAATTATATAATGTTACGTTTTGATCATCTGTCGTTAAAAAATTGATGATGATACTAATATGTCACCTTAAAGTAATGGCATGTCAGGATTGAAAATAATTATAAAAAAATTCTATATCAGTATCACTGTTAATTTTTATTAATAAAAATTATTTTGACAATGAACGTTCAATCACATTGCAATTGCTGATGCTCGAACTCATGATTTCTAGGAACAACAACGATTCTTTTAACCACTGAGGTAAATTGGTTCGTACCTCAAACATATTATTTTGATTGTAAATTTATTTTCATAAAATTTTAACCTTAGCAAACAGAATTAGAAGAAGAAAAGTGCCACGCCAATCATCGTCTCTAACATAAAATTTTCATTTAACAAATAAAGTTACAGTTGGATAAATTTATTTTCTTGGATAAATGTACCTATCATATGTCCCAAAACCTCTTCTATATCATAGCAATCGCCAAAACCAGAAGAAAATTAACCTATCTTTGAAGTTTGGACAAATTCAGTAAGAAATAATATAGCACTCCCACAAACCCAGTGCAAAGCCGCCATTGATGAGCAATGTAAAACTAAATAACCACATTATTAAGCAAAGAAACTAACCCAAAGGAAACTGAAAAATTATCAAATCAAATGAAGTGGAAGACTCGTTACCAGGAAGAACGGATCGTCCTTAAAAGCCGGTATGGTTATTTCCAGAGTTTGACAGATTTGTCATAACTGGCAGATGCAACCATCCCTGCCACTTGAGACTGCGCCAGGGATGATATAACGCAGTCGTGAGCTGTTATTGGCATGCTCCTGTTCTCAGCCGTGTGCCAAAGCTCCAATGACTGGGAATGATGAAATTTAACGACAAAGAAGAGAAGGAAATTAGTGACACACTTAGATAGTGTTATAAAACAATCAAGTAAAAAGATAACTGAGATAATATAGACAAATGGAAACAGGGGACATCAACAAGGAGTTGCGGAGTGGGTAAAACGAAGGTCGAATGATGTCAATTAGTTCCTGACAATATCGTAAGGATATGAAGCAGCACCTGATAACCACCGATGACCAAGAACGCAGGAAAGCTAGGATGAAAAACACAAGAATGGAACTTGTTTCCACTGGAATTGAGCTCCTGAATGCACTCTCCCGAGGCCAGCGACCACACTCTGACGGAATCCTGACTGACAGATGCTAAAATGTCTCCATTTGTGTCCCAACAAATATAGTGTACCTCTGTATTGTGCCCTTAGAGTTGAAAAAATTTCTCCACATGAAAAACTACTTTGTAAAAACTGGTTTCACTATAAATGAGGAAATATACTTTTCCCTTAAAAGATTTATGAACTGAACAAAATTTCTACCTGCAACAAGTGTGTTCTTCTGTCAGTCTCGACATCCACAATAGAGACAACAGCCTCTGCTGCGGCAGCTAGATATTGTCCTATTGTTGGTTGAAATCTGACATTAGTGCTGCCTCCCTTGTAACATCCACAATACCGGGTTAGTGACCAAATTGTAAAGTTTTAGAATTTTGTGACTAAAGTATAAGAATGAAATAGTTCAATGATTATTGGATATATATGATGAAGGTTAATTAGTAATTATTAAAGGAAATTAAGGGTTAAATGGTCATTTGACCAGAAAGATTTTTATATTCCTTTTTAAGGGTAATATAAACGTGGGATATGTGAGAACCATCCAGAGTGCTCTTCTCCTTTCTTCTTCTTCATACGTGGGAGAGCAAGGCAAAGGTAAGTTTAATTTCAGTTGGTTAATTCTTGAGTTTTAAGCTTAGTTTTGATTCTTTGGGTATTAAATAAGCTTAAGGAAAGCTTATATGGGATTTAAACAATAAGATAAAGGAATTATGAAGGAATTTGCAATATGAGTTTTAAGATGAAATTTTGATATGGTATGGTTGTTGAAGTTTTATGGATGAATTTGACTTGTCATCAATCTAATTAAGAAGTATGAAGTGTTAGAATTGGAATTAGAACACATTGAAAATTTGGTATGATTCTTGAATCTCATATGGAAGAAAGGATTTTGAGGTTTAAGATGAAATAAATGAATATAGATTGGTTTAAGTATGTGTACTAGAGTTAAAAATGAAAAGGGGATGATATATGAAGTGTTTGAGAGAAAATGAAGTAATTTTCGGGCTAAAATATGATTTCTGGGCAAGGGGAATCGATACCCATTCAAGGGGAACCGATACCCCTTCAAACGAACAACATTTCCAGAATGTCATTAGGGAATCGATACCCCCATAGTAGGGAACCGATTCCCCCTAAAGGAAAATGTGTATATTGGTTTAATAAGTTCGTTTAAGTTGCTAGTATCCAATTACAAGGTGTAGATATCTAATGATTGCCTCAAAATGTACATTTATGTAGATTCACGCATAAAGCAATTCCGGAACGTTTGGCAAGTAAGATCGATCAAGGGGAAATATAAGAGATTGGAATTGACTAGTGAGGCCAGGTGAGTGCATATTCAATAGTATACGATGTGCGATGGGAATAAGACTTGCGATGAGTCTATTTCCTAAAGTGTTACACATGAATTCATGATTAAAGGCATGAGTGGAATATGCATGTATGTATGCTTGATTATATGGATTGATCTGTTCTTTTATGTGTTAGATGATAAAGTATAAGTAATTACATAAGAAAGGTTATGAAGTTATATGAGAAGATTATAGGAGTTATATGAAATTGATTTAAGTAAACAGATTAGATTATATATTTAAAGAAGTAATAGAAGTGAGATGTGTTTATAAGTTTGCCATAGATGAATATGAATATGAATTATAAGAGTGCTATATGATTTATATTAGGATAAATCGTGAGGATATATATATATATCTAAGAGAAGGCATAAGAGTAAAATATAAGCAATGTGACTATAAGTATATGTGCTCTAAGTGATATGACTTATAGGTATTTCTATTATAATGTTATATGATATGTTATGTATGTTAAATGAATTATGTGATGGTATAAGAAATGATATGAAATATATATATTTGAAAACAAGTACATGTTATGAGATAAGACCTACGACTATAAGCTACGTGAAAGTGTTCTAGGTGTTTCTATATATTATATGAAGTATATGATCTTATGTGAATAAGATATGATAAGTATGTTTACATGAATAAATGTGAATTATATGGAAATGATCTACGTGTAAGTGAACTACGTGACTATGTGATAATATGAAAAGAAGCTATGTGATACGTGATATGGGAAAGTGAATTACAAGTTTATGTGAATATTTGAAATGAAATAAATGATAACGCCCATGTTATGTGTCATGAGAGCTAGGGGTATAGTTGGCATGCCAAGAGTCGAGGGTTTACCTATGTCTTTCGAGACATATAGAAAGTTTACCTAGGTTCTTCGGGACCTATGGACAGTTACCGAGGATCTTTATGACCTCTGGACAGTTACCGAGGATCTTTATGACCTCTGGATAGTTACCGAGGATTCTGGATAGTTACCGGGGTCTTTGTGACCTCTGGATAGGTCCTTCGGGACATTTATATGAGCTGTGGTGACAGCATAGTGGTGCACAACCTCAATAGACTCACATATCTACAGTTCTCACAGGTGCACATGGGCTAATAAGAGATAACATGGAATGTACTGTATATGAATATGTGTGTTAGTGATTATTGTATATGCTATAAGATATATGATATGAGCTTAATTGATTATATGAACAAGAGAATAGAAATATGAAAGGTGATAATATGATAATGATAGGAAAGAAGATAATTATATGTATGCGTGGATATATATATATATATATGAAAGGTGCATAGTAGGAATCATTACATGTATATGTGGGTATGACGCTTGTATGTGATATGTTAGTAGAAATTGTTCAAGCATGATTACGAGTTAGAGTTTTATTATATGTTTTATGCCTCACTAAGTCAACGACTTAGCGTGTGATTGTTTCACACGTAGGTTACAGAAGTGAGAAGAGTAAAGAGCTAAGAGGAGCAAGACAGGTCAGTTCTCCTTACCCAATTGTCAGATCAGAAAATATATGTACGATATATAGAGTGTAGTTGGCATGTAGTCTAAAGATATAAATTGTATGAACTCTGATATATTTTGTAAACGTTTTGAATAAGTTAAATGTTATCCAAGTTTTTGAATTACTCACTATTTTATACGAATATATGTTTGAAAAGTCAATGTGACACTTCGGACTCGTATCCGGGTTGGATACGGGTTGGGGGTGTTACATTTAATGGTATCAGAGCTACGGTTTAGCCGATTCTAGGCTAAAAACGAAGTCGAAAGTGTTTTAAAAAGTGTACATGCCAACACAAAGTGAGAAAAAAAAAATATATTTCTTATCTGATAGGATAAGGAGTGTGCTGTCTTGTTAATAGAGTTAAATTGTTATGTTATATAAGATAAGTGAATACTGAGAATGATTTATGAAATCTATATATATGTTTATATGATATGATGGATGACATGTGAACATATGCAATTGACATATGTTATACAATATGAATTGGATGAGCATATGCACATGTGATATCTGATAGAAGAAATGATATGAACACATGAAAATATGAGAGTTTCCAAAGTAAAATACAAGA